GAAAGCTGGGGCTGGAGAGATGGCTCAGCAGTTAAGAGCACTGGCTTCTCTTGCAGAAGACCCAGGTTCAGTTCCCAGCACCCACATGGCGCTAACAACCATCTGTAACTCCAGTTCCAGGGTATCCAACGCCCTCTTCTGGCCTCTGTGGGCATTGCACGGTATGCGTGCACTTACACAAATGCACATATAAGGTAAAAATAAATTTTAAAGATGTAAAGTTCACACTGCAATTCTGTTCGCTTTATGGGGACTGCTGGGTTCACAGGGAAGTAAGTCATTTATCTGGCCGATGAGGCCAGGTCTCTTGGTCAATACTGGGTGATGTGATGAACCTGATTTTTATCTCCTGGGAATTGGTGGCATTTCTCTTTGGAGGCTGCTTTCTAGTGTGGATATCAAAAACAGTTTTTGTGTGTATGGCCTGTGGATATTCTGCCAGGGTGCTTTTGCTATGACTGCATATTAGCATTGTTCCTCACAGACCAAGTGGGGTTTTGAGACTTTGGCTTCTGTGCCATAGGCAAGGCTGATTTTGACGGGCACCGCCTTCGGCCATGGGACTTTCAGCTGTCCCTGTGCTGATCCAGCAGGTTGCCTCTGTTTGGAGAAGAGTCAGTAGCATTTAACTGCTTACTCAGATCTCCCTACTCCTTGGAGCAAAGTGCAGTGGCTGCTGGTCAGTTTTCAAATTGATTTTAGGATGTGTTAAATATTTATAAAATAGCATTTAATATCCCACGCATCTAGGCTTTGCTTTGTGAAATCAGCGACTCTAGGAAATTATCTAAAGCTACCTTGGTCACCATCCGAAAACACAGGCGTTGCTCAGTTCGGAAAGTGTCAGTCTGCAGTCTGTGTTTTAACCGAAGATACATCTGTGACCTCACAAATTGCATTTTAGTGATTTCACCTTGTCAAAAGATTACTTATGTGAACCGGGGGACCCTGTCTCAAAAAGACCAAAAAAAAAAAAAAAAATAAAAAAAAAAAAAAAAAAAAAAAAAAAAAAAAAAAACCAGACAAAAAACAAAAGAAAAATATGACTTAAACAAATAAGAAATGAACATAGATAAGATCAAGGAAACCATTTGTGTCTGTGCAGAATAGAATCTGCAGTGTGGTACGTGACATCAGAATCTGGCTGAACACCAACAGTGAGTGGGAAGTCCAGCAAAAAGTCCATGGCTCTGGAGAACTAAGCAGACTTTGGACAGACCTGCTAGGCAATCCATGGTGTCACATGGACACGGCCTCCTATCTCTGTTGCTTTGTTTTCAAGTTTTGCATATTTTTTTCTTAATCTCCCCTTCCCTCAATTATAAATAAGACCGAAAGGCTATTCTTTGTTGTTGTTGATTCTTAGGCAGGGTCTCACTCTAGCTCAGGCCAGCCTGAAACTCACTCTGTAGCCTATGCTGGACTTGAACGCACAGGGATCCTCCTGTTTCAGCCTCCTAAGGACTGTGTTTACAGGCGCAAACCACCGCTACCAGCTGAAGGTTACTCTTGATTGCTAACAGCCTAGAAGAAGTAAACTTTGGTGTTCCGTGGTACATTTAACAACAATGCATCATGTGTCTCGACGTAGATGGATGAGAGGAATTTAAATATTCTCACCACAAAGAAACTATAAAAGTATAAAGTGATACATATACTAATCACCTTAGGTTAATAAATACACAATCTATAAACAAATCAAGGCATCATGCTGTGTCTCATGGTTGTGTACAAACAGGTTAATAAAAACTTAGGGAACAGAGAGATGACTCAGCACTCTCCTTCTTCAGAGGTCTAAGTCCAATTCCGAGCACGCATGTCGGGTAGCTCACGACCACCCGTAACTCCAGCTCCAGGGGATCTGATGTTCTCTTCTGGCTTCTGTGGACACCTGCATGCATGCACACACATAAACACACATAAATAAAAAGAAAGTCAAACTTAATAAGAAATTTGTTGATTACATTGTATTTTGAGCCCGCTCCTCCACATCAATGCAGCGAGGTGTAAGTTAAATAGTTAAATAAACTGCCCTCCTTGGTGTAGCATTAACAAATGCAGAGACACACAGTGCTGTGCACCTCCCAAGTTATACTTTGGTCTGTCTCCCCTCTGGTCTCTAATTTTATACACATAGACATTGTGGTATTGTTCTGTTCAGGCTTTGTTCACTCCCTTCAATGTTTTATTGTTACCTTTCAGAGTGGGTAGTGTCTAGTGTCTGTTTCCTTTATAAAAATAATTCCACATAGAGAATTACAGCAGAGAAGTAATAAAACAAAACAGGAATTATTCAATTTTTAAAACATTTATTTTGTGTGTGTGTGCGTGTGTGTGTGCGTGTGCGTGTGTGCGTGCGTGTGTGTGTGTGTGTGTGTGTGTGTGTGCGCCACAGTTCATACGTGAGGTCAGAGGATATGCAGGAATTGGCTCTTCTTTTCCCCTGAGCTCAAACTCAGGTCTTCATGTTCAGCAGCGAAGGCCTTTACCCACGGAGCCATCTCGCTGGCTCTAGAGAATGTTATTCCTCGTGAGATACAGAATCCCTGTTTTCTGGGCAGATAACAAATTATAAAGATATCTTTTTATTATTTCTTAAGAACACATTAATTACTCTGAAGAACGGTTTTCCTATCAGAGGGACCAAGTCATTCTTAGCCTTTTGCTAAGCATCATATTGTGAGTGCGAGTTAACCATGCACCGCGTTTCCCTTATGCTTCTTTACACGGCTGTGTTCACACGCCTCATTTCTTCCCCGCTGGTGTGGTATATGCAGGTATTTGCAATCAGAGAAAATAACATTTACTTTCTGTAACAGCCCACAGCTTTCTATAACTACTACACGTTGCCTTTCCATATGCCCTTCCAAATTCTGAAGCAAGACTCTTCACAAGGATCCAAGTGCAACCGATATGACTAGTAATAATCAGATGCATGACACGCCTCATTTCTTCCCCGCTGGTGTGGTATATGCAGGTATTTGCAATCAGAGAAAATAACATTTACTTTCTGTAACAGCCCACAGCTTTCTATAACTACTACACGTTGCCTTTCCATATGCCCTTCCAAATTCTGAAGCAAGACTCTTCACAAGGATCCAAGTGCAACCGATATGACTAGTAATAATCAGATGCATGCAGATTAGAGATGCATGCGCCAACATCTCAGTGTTAGTAGCAAAAACAATGACTCTCTGCAAGGAACAATACATTCTAAAATGAAATGGAGATTTTTTTTAAAGGTTAAAAACTCATCCAATTTTATGTCATACAGGGCTTATACTGAGTTCAATAATATATAACTATATTAATTCAACTGTGAACCTAGAAACTTGCACCCACTTGTGAAAGAGATGTACTGTTGCTCTGG